TGAGTAGACATGCCTAGGATGGTGCTGTTTGACTTTTAGTGGGGTAGGAGAGCTGGGGGGTGGGGAGAATTCACATATGGCAACCAATGCACCCCTTGGGTTTCAGATAGTACATGGGTAGACGAGTCTAAAAAGCCCTGGAAATGAGTTTTCAATAAGGAAATCGATAAGGAAATCCTAACTCCCAACAACCAGTGCAGACATCACTGTTTACACTGGTCCTTCAATTCTCCTTAGTGCTCCAAGCATTTCATATACACTATGTCAGTAATCCTTTGGCTGCTACTCCCAACCTCATTCCACAAACCAGGTAGTGGTAGTCCAGGCAGCTGAAACACGGGTGCAGTGACCTCCCTAAAACTAAAGACAGGGCTGGGATTTGAAGAAGGGACATCCTGACTACAGGTGGAGGAGAGATTCAGTTCAGTCAGGGCTGTCCCAGGACATTTTGGGCCAGACGGAGTAAGTGAGGATGTTCATCAGGAACAAAGGTGGTGGAAGAGGAAATAAAAATCAACACTGGGATCTGCTGCCTCTGCAGATCCTGCCACCTGAGGTGCTTGCCTCACCTTGCCTCATGCGTGGGCCGGCCCTGAATTCAGTTCACATTTAAATGTGACTCTACCCAGTTCACACTGTCCAGAACAAGAACTGAAACATGGCCATCCTTCAAAATTCTCCAGGTTTTGTAAAGCAGTTCTTCAGCCATGTTCTTGGGCATAACAATGCAAATACTGAGGTAAGTGTGGCGTAAAAATGCATATTTGAGTGACAATCACATTAAAAAATGCATTATGTTAGAGGAAATTGCTCTGCAGAAATGTTTATATTTCATATGAACACAAATATTGGGAGAGATTTGTGTTAAAACGCTGATGAACTTTCATGATTTATTATTATTATTATTATTGCCAACTGATGCAGAGATAAAGAGAACCAAACACTGGAAGAATAAGAAACTGAGAGAGAATTGACATCCTCAAATTCCTACTCCTGCCTCACTGCTTATTCTTGTAGGCTGCAGTCCTATACACACTTCCCTATGCCTCCCTAAACTCATTGGGACTTACTCCTGAGGAGATATAGATAGGATTGCGTTGTTAATAATTACGCTATAGCAGCGCAATTCTAATTACAACTGGGGGTCCAAACGAGTCTCGTAACATCTGCTTTGATTCTCCACATCCTTTTTTAAGGTTACCTCAAGAGCCCCACAATTATTTCCAGGATTCAATTGCCAGATTACTACAGCGACCACAGGGCCCCCATATTGGTTATTTTCTGGCATCGTTGGGCTGAGAAGCAGGCATGCAACTGGGCAAAATGGCCTAGCTGTCACAAAGGGGCTAAATCAGTATCCTGGCTATTCTACATCTGATCACAGGTAGAGGTTCATATGCCTGAATACTTATATACAAGAGGAAAAAACCCTGCACCTGGAAAGTTAGATATCAGGTTTTTAGCTTAGCCGTACCCCATTCTGCTAATTTTCCATGTGAGGGGAGTTAGAACAGCCTACACACATGTTTATCACTGCAGTGAAACCTAGGAAATGGTAAATGGTAAAGGACCCCTGAATAGTTAAGTCCAGTCAAAGGCGACTATGGGGTTGTGGCACTCATCTCGCTTTTCAGGCTGAGGGAGTTGGCGCTTGTTCACAGACAGCTTTCCGGGCCATGTGGCCAGCATGACTAAACTGCTTCTGGCACAATGGAACACTGTGATGGAAACCTGAGTGCACGGAAACACTGTTTACCTTCCTGCCACAGTGGTATCTATTTATCTACTTGCACTGGTGTGCTTTCGAATTGCTAGGTTGGCAGGAGCTGGGACAGAGCAACGGGAGCTCACCCTGCTGCGGGGATTCGAATCACCATCCTTCTGCGGTGTGAGCTCCCGTTGCTCTGTCCCAGCTCCTGCTAACCTACCAACTCAAAAGCACGCCAGTGGCAGGAAGGTAAACGGCATTTCCGCGCACTCTGGTTTCCGTCACGGTGTTCCGTTGCGCCAGAAGCAGTTCAGTCATGCCACCTGTTTCCCTAAAGGACGCCTCCTCTGGGGCTAGTAAGCATATCTCCACATTCTGCGATGCTGTTCTCCAACAAGAAAAAATGTGCACGTTAGCCGAAAGCACGCATGCAAATGCATGTATTTGTGAAATGTGTTGCAGAAACTTGCAAAACTGCATACAAATTGTGTATATGAGGGGAAATGTGTATAAAAATTACCACACGGGGCTCCTTTGCGAGGATGGGTGAGATATGAATTGGGGAAAAAACACGCACAAAAGAATCAATAAAATGCTGGGTGGTTTTTGTGTAGGCTTTAGAAAAATCACAAACTGCTGTGGAAATAGAATTAATTGAATTTAAGATTGGAGTAGAGGGGGGCTGAGAGAAATGGCAATTGACAGAATTGCTGAGCCCAAATCCAGAGACCCCGAGAATGAGGAAGCAAATGCCGAATGGCTCCCACTTTTCTGTGGTCCACAGGCTTACTTATCGTATCTTAATTCCTTGGCTATTCCATTTCAAGGCATGGGAGCTCTTCTGAGACACATCTAACCAAGAGGAAAGGGAAAGACCAAGAAACTAAAGGTGAGAAAACGAAAGAGGTCCCCAAGAATGTAGTCAGTGGCCTTTTTGGTATAGCAGTTGTGGTGAACCTCACTGCTAGAGATCCACCACACACTGGCTATTTTATAAGAGAGAGAGGGAGAGGGAGGGAGGCAGAAGAAAGCTGGCACCACAGAGATTCATTTCATAATTTATACATGTCAAAATATGTCAAATCAGTGTATAATTTCTAAAATATCCTCTTGTTTCTTTGGGTGAAATGGACACAAGTGAGGGGATTAGGACTTTGCTAAATCCGCAGCGCCATCTAATGGTAAACTGCAATATTTACTTCTGTTTCCTCTTTATCTGTGGGATAAAAAACAACAACCCAGAAAAGCAGTTCATCTACAGGTAATGGTGTGTACCTATATTACGGGAGAATGAAGGGCAGAAGAACAAAGAGATGAACAGAGTAGATATTTCAGTTTCTCTGTATTTCTCAGTGCAGGCAAGTGATGCCTGTACAACAGCTGCAAATACGTGCGGTAAAAGCAAGGCAGCACAGTTGGAAGGTACCCCCAGGAAGGCAGCAGAGACAGGAAACTGAACCATGAATGAGGAGGAAGAGAAGGAGGAATAATATTTTCCAGAAAAAAAAAATAGTTCTGCTTCATGGAATATGCTCATTTCAAAGTGAGTATCAAAAACAGAAGGCATTTGCCACCATCTTAAATACAGCTCCTCTTCACAGTGACTCAGCGTCTCATACCCTCCGATGAAAATAGAGATGTCCTATTTCATAACGATAATAATTTTATTATTTATACCATGCCCATCTGACTGGGTTGCTCCAGCCACTCTGGGCAGCTTCCAACAAAAAACATAATATAAACATTAAACATTTGTGTTTTTTTTAAATCCCTACGCATGGCTGCCTTCAGATGTCTTCTATTTTTGCCGATGAAAATAGGGACAACCCTAAGGAAAAGCAGGACATTCCGGGATCAAATCAGAAACTGGGACTGTTTCTGTAAATCTGGGACTCTCCTTGGAAAATAGGTAAACTTGGAGGGCCTGGCGTCTTATTTTTTGGCTGGATTTTTTTCTTTCTTTCTTTAATTCTCACTCACTCTGGGCCTCGCCTTGACATGTTCTTTGGCGCTGCTTTCAGTGCTCCACGCAAGGTGGGATGCCATCACACACCTCAGGCAGAAATGATGGAGTCTGGCCCAAGCACCCCTCTTTCCTTTTCTCCCACTTTGGAAGCCTCGTGCAGAAGATCGCCATCTCCAGCAGATCTGGGGAAGTGACCCACGTCTGAAAACCTAAAAAGCTGGTGCCAGTCCATGTCGAGAGCGATGAGATAAATGGACCAATGGGCTGAGTAAGTATAAGGTCGCTTCCTATGTTCCTATCCCACTTTAATGGTCCTGAAGCAATAATTTATTAATAAATACTTCTATATCAGTGTGAGATAGATAGATAGATAGATAGATAGATAGATAAGCTGAAACCCACTGACCAGTTTTCTTTTGGGGGAGGGGAAATTCTCAGTGATTTTTTTTTTGTTCTGGAAAAGCAAAATTCTGTTTAAAAGAAAGAAAAGGCTTCTTCCCTCAGTTCTGTTAAAGCCCTGAAAAGTCCCTGGGAAAGTTTGCCCTCTGAAGAAACGGCTACTCCAAATTTGGCACATGAGAATAGCATGGCAGATCAGAGTGGCCGTTTGAACGCGCCGCTGCTACCTTTTTCCATGGGAGGAAAAGATAGCGAGGGACCATTTGGAATGCCGATAAAGTGAGTGGAGAGAGTGAGTTTGCCATGTCCCCCCTCCTCTCTAAATATCCTCTTCTGTAAGCGAGTTTGCTTTTGACTCCGGATTATCGGTTTCTGCTTCACCAGCCTCCCAGTGGTTGAAAATGGAACACGATGCTAGAAAAAGAAGATGTCTTTTGCAAAGTTATTCACACAGCATTAATTGCATTAACCGAGAATGTTCCTTCCCATTGAGGTCTGCGGTGGAAAAGGCCATCTTTGCCAAGTTAGAATGTTATAGAAGCTTGAGGAACAGCCCTACCATTAGGCAAAATGGGCAACTGCTTTTGGTGGCAGATGTTGGGAGTAAGGCGGCAGCAGTAGCTGTTGATCCTTAGGCATTGTCTCTGCCACCACCATATTGGCAGTTGGAGGACTAATCTTCATATGCTACATAGCTTGTCCTGGGACCCTAAAATCGCCTTCAGGAGCAGTGGAAGATGCTGCAATGCAAAGGCTCATTTATGCCAAACTGCCACTTCAAGATTTTATTCTCTATTCCCCTCAAAAAGGGAAAAGGTCCCATCTCCCCCTGTATGCACAAACTATAGAATATTTTCTGCCTGGCAGGGAGAGGGTGAAATCCAGCAGTAGTTAACACTGAAGTAGCCCATCTCCCAACTTCCAAAAGGCATCAAGTCATAGCTCAGTTGGTTAGAGTGTGGTACTGATAACACCAAGGTCGCAGGTTTGATCCCCGCATGGGTCAGCTGTATATTCCTGCATTGCAGAGGTTTGGAAGGGGGACTTGCAGAAACCTGCCATGGGGCAAGCCCATTCAGTCTTTGTGCACTGTTGTCAGTACAAGTGAATGGTGCTCCAAAGAGATGATGATAAGTTTGCAAGACAGGACAAAACTCTGTATGCATGCCCACAATTTGTTTTTGAATGATACTCCCAGTCCTGGTATTCAAAGCATTTTGCAAGAGTTGTGTATTCACAACAAATGATTATGTGCCTCACAGCGCAGTGGTTTGAAGCATTTGCTGTCTCAAAATAAGGGACACTGCACTGTAAACAAGGGCAAGCCACTCTGTTAATGGCCAGAAAACAACATTGCACCAGAGGCCACTGATAGCTATAAATATAGATAGCACAGAATTGAAGTGATCTTGAAACCATGGTTAGGTGCAGATCTGTTTGCGATGTCCTATAAACCTATATAGATTTGTTTTGCCGTGTATATACAAAACAGAGCATGCCTGCCTCTTTGCTGCTTAATGAGAGGAAGCAAACGCCACACGCAGTGATTTGTAGAACCTCAGCATGTTTATATTTCTCTTGATCTTCCAGATTCTTTTACTGTGTTTAAACAGGTTTGAGCAGTTCATGTTTTCCCCACACTGATTGCTGTAAGGTTGCAAAGCTAGGCATACTATGCACCTGAATTGATAGTAGGGCTTATTTTATTTGCAAGGGAGATCTTCCTGCTTTCCCTTATTTATGGCCTGTGTGTGTTACAGCTTTCATTTACCAGCAGCACTAAGAGCAGTCCTTTGTCTCCTTGGAAACACCGAGATCAGGAGTCCAAAGATGCTCTCTCTCAGAATCTCTTGGTGTACCTGCATGGAACTCTGCACATGTTTTGAAACCTCTTGTGCACAGTTGCACCCTTCCCCCTTTCCCCTCCACTGCCCCCTTTCCCTAATAAACCTCTCTTGGATATTTGGCTTCATTGGAGACGACTATCTCACTAAAATCTTCCCTGCGTGCAAAGGCTGCACAATTAAGTGGCAAATATTTCTGAAGATTCCATTAGTTTTGCATCCACTGGGCTTTGGGGAAACAATTCCACAATGTCTAAAATTTTCCATAGAGCTTGGGCTCAAGCGAGGAACCATTGGTTCAACTAGCAGGATGAGGGTAGGTTTTCCAGGTATGTTTAGTTTGTGGTGGCAACATATTTCAATTATTTGGAGGTCAGATAGGGGCTAATACACATCAGTAAAATACAACCTCTTTCCCTTGCCCTGATCCCATTAGGGTGTTCCTCAGTGGCTAAATTTGTAATAATTATTTCCCTAGTACGATTTCCAGAACTTTCTGTAGAAGGTGATTAAGGGGCTCTGAGCTTAGAGTGATTTTGAGGGGATTGGGTATATACTCTCTATACACACACACACACACACACACACACACACACTTGCAAAGAATCTGTAATCCAATATCTGCTGAGGGATGATATTGTTTCAGCATACTTGGTTGAGATCTTTTAAAGTCAAATTTAAAACTTATTAATCTGACCTAATGATGGCTACTGAGTCTTTTAGATGTTTTATGTGTTTAATATGTCTGGACTATTAATGTTTTGTGGACGGGTTTTTTTATTGTCTACATTATGCCAATAAAGTCTAAATGAATGAATGAATGAAAAAGGTGCATTCACAGAAGGTAAATCTGTTGGTGGGAATTAGCTGTGATGGAACCGGAACATCAGTTCCCACTGGAGCGGAAGGCTGTTGTCTTTGTGCCTTGTTTATGGGCTTCCCAGAAGCATCTTGCTGGCTGTTGAAAAGAGAGTACTGGGCAACATGGACTCTTGGTGTGATCCACTTGGGCACCTCTTCTTCCTCGGGAAGAAGTCTCTTGAACTCTCCTTCCTTCTGGCAATTTTCCCTGCCCTTTTCTAACCTAAGCCACTCCCAGTGCAAACCTCATGATCACCCTCATACAGGACTTCTTTTTCTTTGTCTTGTTACGGCAGGGTTTGGGGGAAGAATGAGCAATAGGGACCCCAAATCCAGCTGGGCAAGCTCACCCCATTTCAAAGTAATTCATCTGATTTGCTATTCTGCTTAGCAGGTGACCGCACCAACCCACTTCGTTTGACATTGGCTCCCAATCTCTTCTCTCCAGCTCTTCTCAGAGAGCCACACAAATTCTCCACATTGTGAGGAGATGGATGCATAATGTTTTTCAATAGTGGAAGACAAGCTTCCCTCTAGGATGGCCACTCCAACCTATTACCCCTTCTTCCCTTGCAACATGAAGCCAAGGAGAATGGTGTTAGGTCTCATGCAATCACAGCACAGCTGGCGGATGGATGCATAAGGCACAGCCAGGGCAAATTCCTTTCATAGAAACATGGAGCTGCAGAGTTGGAAGAGGTCTAGTCCAACCCCTTGCAACGCAGGAATCTCAATGAAGCCATCCATGACAGATGACCATCCAACCTCTGCTTAAAAACACCCAAAGAAGGAGAGGCCACCACTTCTTGTGTGAGTCTGTTCCACGGTAGAACAGCTCTTACTGTCAAAAAGCTCTTCCTGGTGTTTAGTCAGAATCTCATTTCTTGTAACTTGAATTCATTGGTACGGATCCTACCCTCTGGAGCAGGAGAAAACGTGTTCCATGTGCAAGTCCTTTATCTGTTTGAAGAGGGCTATCATATCTCCTCTGAGTCTTTCCTTTTCCAGGCTAAACATACCCAACTTCCTCATAAGGTTTGGTTTCCAGACCCTTGATCATATTGGTTGCCCTCTCCTCCACATCATCTAGCGTCTCAAAACCCTTTAAAAATTGTGGCACCCAGAACTGGACACAGTAATCCAGATGTGGTCTGACTAAGATAGAACAGAGTGGGATTTTGACTTCCCTTGAGTGGGGCACTTGACTTCTTTTGAGCTTTTTTTGGCTGCTGCATCATCCAGTAGCTTCACACCTGCATGTCCATTCCTCCCTCTTTTTACTGGGATCTTTTATCAAAGGTGACTTGCATCATCATGCCTTGGGGCTTGGGACTAACCTGTTCTCCTTCTGATATTAGCAAAACATAACATTATGAAAATAATAATGATCTCTTTGTCGATGCTTCTTAGACAAATGTAATCCACTACTATTAACTTTGTGTTGCATGAGTGGGTCTGAGAGATGGCTGCTCCTTTTTAGAATAGCAAGTGACATATTAGATTATCTAGTCTGCAAGAGATTGGCATCATCAACTCCGTAAACTCTGCTCTTTTGGCAGCACCAGTCTTGCCTTCCCTCAAAACCTTTCCCAACTGACCCCTTTTCCTTCTTCCTTGTCTTGCCAATGTAAAAATCTTCCCTTTAGCAGCAGAGGTAGCCAATGTGATATATATCTGGGACTACAACTCCCATCAGCCCAACTGGCATGGCCAAAAGCAAGGGATGATGGGAGCTGTAGTCCAACATCTGGTGGGCACCACGTTGGCTACTCATGCATATATGCTGTTTTAGGCAGCTTATGAAAAGCACAAAATAATGACTAAATATGGAAAGACCAGCTGTTATGCATCGTAGTGCAGGAGAACAAAGCCTGCTTTGATCAATAACATGGATAATCCATAACTGCCGCAGAAGACTCCCTTTAAAGGAGCAATGGGGGTGCAAAATCAGAAAACTTATACCCAGATATTCAACATTATATTTATATCAGAACATAAAACTGGATGGCTCGCTGGCATTGCTGGAATGCTTCCTGTTTCAGAACATAGTTTTAAAGCTGCACCTGGAAAGGCCTAAACTAGCTTGCTGACCAGCTTGGCCAATTCACACATTCAGCTGGGAACCCAATTGGAGCGGGATGATCCATCTATCCCTAGTATGAAGCCTACCAATGTTAGGTCTTATGAGATTCCTGTCTTAGAACAATAAAAGGGGAAGGGGCAATTACTCTAACTACCAATAAATCCACAAACACGACTTCCTTGTCCTACATCATTTCTACACAATTTTGTCTGGTCTGTAAGGCTACCTAGTGTAGATGATTGTTGCCTCTCCATATGCACCACAGCCACACTTGAAACAAATGTTTTAATTTTAAAACTAATTATATATCTATAATATTGATGGCACACTCGGTTATTTTAAACCCTCCACATATTGTGACAAACAGATTTCCTGCAACAGGCCAAGTCATGCAAAGCAAACACGTTTTAAGTAGTGGGGAACATAAGTACAGAAGTAAAATACACCCACTGAAAAGCTGCTGGTGTCAAACAATTCTTTATTCTGCCATTGCCCATATTTAAGTGACACATTCTTTGCTACCAAAAAAAGGGTATGTGTGGACGGGTGGTGGAGGAGAAGGTGGGGGAGAATCCATCCGACCAAATGTTTGCGTGAAACCTTGCAGGAACTGGTCACATCACATGTCTTAGAAACATCTACATGCTTTGGGCTTTTGTGTATATCACATGCACAATGGAAAACAGAAAACAATAAAGGCAGGGAAATTATGCTTTCTGATCAAAGGCAGCTCAAGACAGCTGTGGTGTCAGATGCAGAAAATCCAAATGGCTCCTGCCCAATTCTCACCAGTGCTTAAAATGTAATGATTGACAGCACACTGCCCTGTAACGGTACCCGCAAATCTGCCACCTGAATTGGAAATATTCACTCTGCCAAATAGTAGGGCTGGCATTGCTCCTTTGGAAACTTTTCCATGGAAGGATTTAAATGGTGTATGCATAATTTGCGTGGAGTTCAGGGTCGATGTGATACACCTCGTTTAAGAGGCGTCCAATCACGCTCTCCATGTTCTTATGATAGTTACTAGTGAGGTCCCGGATCTTTGCTGTGGTTTCTTCATCTATTTTTGTCGATAGGTTCCCTTGAGAGCCCATGATCTACAAAGGCAAAGCAAGACATATCCCATGAACAAAAGAGAAAGAAATGAACAAGCTTGTGCCACTTTCTCCAAAGCCAGGCCCGAAACAAGAGAAACCTCTCCCTTAGTCTTCTGCACATACAGTCAACATGGAGGAAGCGAGGTGCGGATATCTTCTCTCCTTACAAACCAAGCTATGGAAAGAAGCATAACAAATCTCTCCCAGTGCTTCCCCTTTCCGTAACACGTGTTGCACAGTGATGTATGACGTTGCTTCTGCAAAGCCCAGCATGAAAGTGAGAGACCATGGGTGGAATTCAAGGTTGTGTTAGTTGGTCATTCCACCAGTAAAAGCATTTCTGCTTGCCAGAAGAAATTATCTCCCCTCTCGCATCTGTTCAGGCTGTTCTGGGGCTTCTTCCAACCAGAGAAGATTTGGGGTAGGTGCAGAGGGAGGAGAGGGGGAAGCCCTGCTGCTCTAGTGGGAGTACTAGGGCACTGTGTTAGTTGAGTTCGGTCCCTTATCTCAGCCTACCAAGGTTTCACACATGAAAAGAATTGGAGGAGGGGAGGAATTGCTAGTAGACTACAAATAATGACTGGAATTCCATCCATGGTCTCTCACTTTCATGCAGAAGGAATGTCAGACATCAGGCACCCCTGAATTGAAACACCCACAATGGTTTGATGTGCATGGATGATGTATTTAGAGTTATTACTCTAGTTCAGGGGTCAGCAAACTTTTTCAGCAGGGGGCCGGTCCACTGTCCCTCAGACCTTGTGGGGGGCCGGACTATATTTTGAAATAATAATAATAATGAACGAATTCCTATGCCACACAAATAACCCAGAGACGCATTTTAAATAAAAGGACACATTCTACTCATGTAAAAACATACTGAATCCCAGACCGTCTGCGGGCCGGATTTAGAAGGCGATTGGGCCGGATCCGCCCCTTGGGCCTTAGTTTACCTACCCATGCTCTAGCTTATGTAGTGTGTCTGGAAACAAATGGAAAGTATCTTTAGCTGCAAGCATGTGAGTTGGGCCTTTTGAACAGGAAGTACTGTAGGAACTGGACCTATGCATCTAAGCATCTGGGATGCATGTAACCATTCATGCACAGAGGTGAAATACACATGCTCATTGACATTCCACAGAGAGACTATCCTCAGCCAAGTAAGTGTGAGAAGCAACCCTTAATCCAATCTTCCCTTGGTACTCTTACTCACATTGGACTGCTTATGTCTGAAATCCTTTTCCCTTTGTAGCCTGTAGTGGTCAATCTCTGCTGTAGCTTCTTCTTTGGCTTGCTTCAGTCTCTTTCCCTTTCCTGGGAAAACAAAAAGGAGAGGTGATTCAGCTGGCATTACAGTACAGTACAAGTTAATATTATTTCTACATAGCCTTTCTTTCATGCCTGGAAATCTCAAGCCTGCGGCTTAGAAAAGGGCGCAGAGAGCACCATCCTTGTATTCAAACACAGCGAACTTGCTGCCCGCCACCCCCTTAAGCTGAGCATTAGCCTCCCCTTGGACTAGACGAAACTGCTGCGGGCTTGCATTCAGTGTTTACAGCCCTGCAAATAAACCTGTTAGGTTACCAACCACCCTGTGGAGAACGGATTCAATGGCCGGAGTTCAACGGGCAACACAACATTTCTCTCACAAGTTATCTTTGCTCCCAGTGTAGAGATAAGGAATGAGATTCCCCACCCGTGTTAGTTTATCAGGGCTATTCCACAGAGACTCCTGGTATTTCGTATCTGCATGACATGGGAGCAAGTCTCAAACTCTCCTGTTCCTCTGCCTGGTGTCAGAGAACACGTCGACAACAACAGTGTTTTAAAAACACTGTTCCTCTTGGTGAAACTGGGATGGATATAGGATAGGTCATGCGTCTGAGCCACAGTAGAATCTCTGGCAGATTAGGCAAGGTGTCATGGCTGATTGGACAACAGAGGAGTGGTGGGAGGAACCAGCCGGAGAACCAGGAAGGGAAGAAGGTTCAGAACCCAGGGAGCAGTGGCTTAGTGAGCGGGGAGAGTCTGTGGCAGAGAGAAGTCAAGAATCGGAGGCAGAAGCTGGTGAGTGAGAGGAAGGAGGCCAAGAGGTAGAGATGAGTTAGGCTGGTCAACAGTCATGGGTGTGTCCTCCCTCCTGCTATGGCAGGCTCCCCTCCCCCTGACTCCCAAAACCAGGCAAAGCATGAAACAGAAGGCACAAAAACAGGCTGCACACAGCTAGTAAAAGCTTCAAAACACAGCTCCGTAAAAGCGAATCTTAAGTGAAGCTGGCTGGAGATTTGACAGGTAACTGGCTCTAAAAAGGACCATTTTTAGAAGGGGGAACCAAGGAGAGCATTTAGAGAATTTGATCGCTTGCAGATCACATAGTGATTCTGTCCAGTGGCACCAATCCCTTAATTGGCATTTGTCTGTGGATATAATCTCTAGTTTATGTAAATAATAAGAGTTCCAATAAGGCTGGGTGAAATAGTGATAAAAGAAAGGTAATTCTACAACACTTTCTGTCCATTGTTAGTACTACTATTGTTTATATGATTTCATATAAACACTCCGAGAAAATTTCTGGCTGTGATAAAAATGACAGTTTCCATGCTATTCTGCTAAGTGGTATTTTTTTTTCATGTTTCCCTTCCAGGCCCAACCTTCCTCTTTTGTCACTCAAAAAGTCCAAAATGGCTTCTCATCAATTAATTTAACGTGATTCCAGATTGTATTACACCTGATCCTGTGACTCCAGGGATGATGGGATTTGTAGTTCAATAATGTCTGGAGGAAGACAGGTTCTCAGCCCTGTTTAAATTTGTTGAACTGTGTGAATCTTTCATCTTGAGATCAGCTATTGAGGCAGCGCATAGTATCTTATTTCTTTTATTTATTTAAAGGGAGGATATTATTATTGTTATTATTGAGTCTGCCTTTTTAACAATGTACATAAACTTCCGAGAGGAAGCACAATTGCCTCCATTGTCACTGAGCCTGTCTTCTTCCTCTGTTCCCCACCTGCTGGCTACAGGAAGGAAACTCGTATGGAGTTTACTGGGCATTTTGATTATGTGCTGACTCCATGATCAGGACCACTTTATTTACTAGCTCTCACATCAGCAACTCAAATGTTCCCAGGCTCCCTAACCGAAAAGGCACTGGGCACTGTCACAATGCGTTCCTTGGTGCAACCGTTGATGACTCCCTATCATGCTTTCAGCTTCAAATCAAACATTTCTTCTCTCTCCCCCCCCACCCCAATTTCCAACAGCCACAGCCAGAGAACAGATTTTAGTTGTCGCTGATGAGAAAAGACATTATTCTGCAAGATTTGCCATATTGATTTGCAGCCAGGAGCCTTTCAGTCAACACCAACTGGATTCTATTTAATGCTGGCAGATTTCCAAGGCACTACAAAGATACAGTTCAGCCACTCGCTGAGTTGCAACATTTACATTTTATGGCGTTCCCCCCTCCCTTTTCTCAACACTTGCTAAATGCAAAGGTGGGTGGGAACATCAAAGGAGGTTTCTAGCACAAATATGCCGCCGACATGAAAGCGAAGGTAAAGTCGAGAATGGGCGGAACAAATCACGAAATGAAGGAAGGGAAAGTGACGATCTTAAAGGTAATCTTTAGGGAACACTAAAAACAAGGCTGCCATCCCATGCCCACTTACCTGGGAACAAATTCCATTGAACTCAGTAGGACTTACTTTTAAAAAGGATTGCACTGTAAATTTTGCAAAGACCCGGGTTACTGCAGGACCGGCCCTACCGTTAGGCAAAATGAGGCAGCTGCTTCAGGCAGCAGATGCTGGTGATGCAGTAGCAGCATTCCCAGGCCACCATTCCTCCTGGCCTCTCCAGACATTTCACTCTGCTGCCACGTGGCCCGTCCTGAGCCCCCTAATCTGGTTTGATGCCTCAGGTGTAGTGGAAGATGCTATTCCTCCACTGGTGTTGATGTAAGGTTCAACTGGTTCTGTGTGCCGAACTGGGGAGGGGGAGACCATCGTGTCCTTTATCTGAGGCAGCAAACTGTCATGGGTCAGCCTCAGGTAAGTGCCCACATTCCTGAGTGAATTGCATTTGTTTACTTGGATCTGTAGGTTGAAATCTTAAAAATAAATCCTATGACTTTTTTGGAACCTGAAAGCATAGCGTTCAGGGATTCCTTTCATATTTTACTGGGGTTTTGTAATTTGTTGGAAGCCACCCAGAATAGCTAGGCCAACCCAGTCAGATGCGTGGCTATCTATCTGTCTGTATCTATTATCTATCTATCATCTACCTATCTATCAATCAATCAATCAATCAATCAATCAATCATCTATCTATCTCTATCTATCTATCTATCTATCTATCTATCTATCTATCTATCTATCTATCTATCTATCATCTATCTATCTATCTATCTATCTATCTATCTATCTATCTATCATCTATCTATCATCTATCTCTATCTATCTCTATCTATCTATCATCTATCTATCTATCTATCTATCTATCTATCATCTATCTATCTATCTATCTATCTATCTATCTATCTATCTATCTATCTAATCTATCTAGTAAATGGACCTCTGGCTCCCTGGTGAGAGTTAACCATTTCCATGGCCTCTTCAGCAAGGGAGGGAAATCTGTGTTATGGAAAAATATGTCCATTTCAGTTTCTTATTTTTTCAATCTGAAATTCAGTTCTCCACATTTCTACATCAGTTGCGATTTTTTAAAAAGTCTCCATGATTTATTTATTTTTGTGTAAAGCGATTTTCACCAGTAAAATGTGCTGATATATGCTACTCTTTGCTAATAGACACAATTATATGCACACTTTATCCCAGTATATGCAATTTTGTACACATTACTTGACTGGAGACCTGCACGCCAAACTTCAGAGAAGTGTGAATTTCAAAGGATAGCTGTGTTTCGGTTTGCATATTATTTCTGATACTGCAAATCTGGTAAGTTCACCTTCGAATGAGGACTGAATTGGATTTCTTCCCCCATCCCTAGTGGAGAGTTGGGTGCTCCATCTTACTGAGTAAGATCCCTTTAATAAAAGCTATACTGAAAGCAGGGAGGGGAGAACCCATCCATTTGCAAAAGGCAGAGACATGCCCAGGACAGCACATAATAGCCAGGAGGGAAAACTGGATTGTTTACTAATATGAAGTTTGCTTCTGTGGGCTAAAAGTGATTGACAATTCATGGCAGCCTCTTGCTTTCCTCTTAACATTAAGAGTAGCACAGACTGGGGTTGGCACGAGACAGAACATGTTCTACAAATCAGCCTTTCGGTGACTTGCTGAGTTTATGACTCCCAATAATTTAGTAATATGAAGTAAAATTGTTTGGTTTTTGTGGACTGGTTTTTTTCCTTCAGTTTTTAGAATTCTGTGTTCAAAACCCTTGCAGAATTGTACACATGCATGCAGGCTATTCCAGTGTATGGCTCAGTGGCGTAGCGTGGGTTGTCAGCACCCGGGGCAAGGCAAGTAATTTGTGCCCCCTAACCCGTGGATTTGCGCCCCCTAACCTGTGGATTTGCACCCCCTAACCCTAACCCCCAGATGTTGCGCCCGGTGCGGCCGCCCCCCCTGCACCCCCCACGCTACGCCACTGGTATGGCTTATGGCACAAATAGCCAATGGGCTGATCTTCCAGGGTTGTTGGACTCCATCTCCCATCAGCCCTAGCCAACACAGCCAATAGTCAGTGACGATAACTGTAGTCCAACAACAACAACTAGAAGGCACCAGATTGGCTATTCCTGGCTTATAGGATGCAGTAGATGATTGGTTCCACCCCCACAGCCAGCATTTTGTACCTGGTTGGTGGATCTTGGAGTTTAAGCTAAAACATAAAGTTGATCCCATAAGTCAGTCCACTCATGGCACAGTCCTGCAGTTCATAAAAGGGGTGTAACACAACAGCAGCTAAGAGCTGTGGCAAGGTGGTTCCCACTTGCGTGGAGAGGCAAACAAGCAAGTTCAAACCGCACAGCTCGCTTCACACAGGATATGATGTTAAGGTGCAGTGCTGCACGCATATCCAGCTTAGAGGAGCAAGTCGCAGGTGGATGTTGAGAGCTGTTGTTGTGGCTGAAGACTGTGAGCTATGAAGTCACCAGTTTGAATCTCACCTCAGCCCAAAGGATGTAAAGAAAGCCACTATTTTCTCAGTCACAGCTCACAGGGCTACTCTAAGGATTGCTCAGATAGTGTACCTTTTCTTTGAAAATGTGACATGTGTCATTGAAAGTCTACTCAGTATTGATCCAGAGTAGAACTCAAACGTATAGTTAGCAGAATAAAAACTTAAACATGTTGCAGGATTCCCCCCAAAATAGACCAGAGGCAATTAATATTTCTTCCAGCAGAGCTTTACTGCTACTGAAGGCAAATGAGCATAATGGTCACAAATCCGATATATTCAGGATTGGCACTGTCCACAAGAAATCCAGTTTCAAGCTGACTTAACTTAAACTTACAATAACTTATAATAAGTCTAAAACTTATTTTAGACTTGCAACATGTAAATCTTGTCATGCTGTAAGCCGCCTTGAGCATTGTTTTTAACTGTGGAAAGGCGGCATACAAATAAAAAATGAAATGAAATGAAACTTAACACTATACAGTGGTACCTCGCAAGACGAATGCCTCTGAAGACGAAAAACTCGCAAGACGAAAGAGTTTTTCGTTTTTTGAGTTGCTTCGCAAGACGGATTTCCCTATGGGCTTGCTTCGCAAGACGAAAAACGAAAAAAACCAAAACGTCTTGCAAGTTTGTTTCCTTTTTCTTAAAACTGTTAATACCCAGGGTGACTTCGAGGAGCAACTCATAGCACGCAGTGTGGTAGCCTTTTTTGAGGTTTTTGAAGACTTTGGTGATTTTGAAGACTTTGGGAAACCGTGCTTCGCAAGACGGAAAAAATCGCAAGATGAAAAAACTCGCAGAACGAATTAATTTCGTCTTGCGAGGCACCACTGTATACAGAATGCCACACCAGAAGGAAAAGAGATAGGAAGAGAGAGTGAAGCCCAGGCTCCTTCTGGCCTTCCTTTTATAGTAAGCATGATCTTGACGGAAAGAGATAACAGAACCAGTTTAAACCAGCTGTACTCAGCTTCTCTGAAGGAATAACCCAAACATCAGGAACCTTCTGCTTGTTTCCCTCACACAGAGAAGCTTCTAGAAGCTTCCAGAACTCTCTTGAATCAATTAGAACAGGAAAGATCTCTACACATCAGATCAATACTTTCTGCACTAAAAGTATTGTTTCCTGGTTCTGCTGGATCTCTCAGCGGCCTTTGATACAATCGACCATATCATCCTTCTGGACCGTCTAGAGGGGCTGGGAGCTGGGGGCACTGTCATACAGTGGTTCCGCTCCTTCCTCCTGGGCCGTGTTCAGAAAGTGGTGGTGGGGGATGAGTGTTCAGACCCCTGGGCCCTTACTTGTGGGGTGCCTCAGGGTTCCGTCCTCTCCCCCATGCTTTTTAACATCTATATGAAGCCGCTGGGAGAGATCATCAGGGGGTTTGGACTGGGTGTCCATCAATATGCAGATGATACCCAGCTCTACCTCTCTTTCAAATCAGAACCAGTGAAGGTGGTGAAGGTCCTGTGTGAGTGCCTGGAGGCGGTTGGAGGATGGATGGCGGCTAATGGATTGAAGTTGAATCCTGACAAGACAGAAGTATTGTTTTTGGGGGTCAGGGGGCGGGCTGGTGTGGAGGACTCCCTGGTCCTGAATAGGGTAACTGTGCCCCTGAAGGACCAGGTGCACAGCCTGGGAGTCATTTTGGACTCACAGCTGTCCATGGAGGCGCAGGTCAATTCTGTATCCAGGGCAGCTGTCTACCAACTCCACCTGGTACGCAGGCTGAGACCCTACCTGCCCGCGGACTGTCTCGCCAGAGTGGTGCATGCTCTAGTTATCTCCCGCTTGGACTACTGCAATGCACTCTACGTGGGGCTACCTTTGAAGGTGACCCGGAAACTACAATTAATCCAGAATGCGGCAGCTAGACTGGTGACTGGGGGCGGCCGCTGAGACCACATAACACTGGTCTTGAAAGACCTACATTGGCTCCCAGTACGTTTCCGAGCACAATTCAAAGTGCTGGTGTTGACCTTTAAAGCCCTAAACGGCCTCGGCCCAGTATACCTGAAGGAGCGTCTCCACCCCCATCGTTCTGCCTGGACACTGAGGTCCAGCGCCGAGGGCCTTCTGGCGGTTCCCTCATTGCGAGAAGCAAAGCTACAGGGAACCAGGCAGAGGGCCTTCTCGGTAGTGGCGCCCGCCCTGTGGAACGCCCTCCCATCAGATGTCAAAGCGATAAATAACTACCTGACATTTAGAAGACATCTTAAGGCAGCCCTGTTCAGGGAAGTTTTTAATCTGTGATATTTTACTGTATTTTTTGTTTCTATGGAAGCCGCCCAGAGTGGCTGGGGAAACCCAGCCAGATGGGCGGGGTACAAATAATAAATTATTATTATTATTATTAAATGCAAACTGACGACATGAATTAAGTAGTGCATAATTAAAATGAGGCCCGTGTGCACCCACTCACATTCATTCCTTGTTTCCTGCAACTTTTATTTGCCTCCTCCTGTCAGAATTTAGACTGTAAGCTCCTTAGGGTTTAGGGTGGCCAGTTGCATATCACTTGCAACAGGGATGCCAACTTGAATAAAATATGGGGGGGGAGGTAAGGCCCATCCCTAATGATCACATGATGTGATGCACACACACCATTTGAATGGCAATGCCCATCAACTTAGAAGGGATGGTCCCCTCGAATATTTTAGGGGGTGTGTGGGCAAAGGGACCTTGGCTCGTAGGAGTTGACTTGCATATTGCATTTCATTCCTCTGGAAAGTAGGAGACGTGGCAATCCTGTCAGGGGAAGGAGGGCCTTCATTTTCTTGATATGTGTACATTGACTGCACAACTGCAACAACAACAAAATGCCCGTCAAATGCAAAGGAAGAAACAAAAATAGCACCACAGAAAGAGCAAAAAGAAGAAATAGAAAGCAAAACTTACTGGGGGGGGGGAGATCGGGTCTACAGTAGTGACTCACCGTGAAAGTGCTACGTGACTTTTTATCACCCCACTAGAAGTAAAATTTTCCATGTTATGGAAACCGAAGAGATAACAGAAGTCGGAATAGCTATCAAAAAGTATCTCTCACACAAAAGGAGGATGAGGAGAGAAGAGCATGAGGAAAAGAATCAAACTCAAGACACCTATTCTTAAAATCACAAAGCTCCTTTAAGTACAAGCTTGGATGGAAAGACCAAGGGAGCTGGTCTCTCACAGCCGAGGCAGCCATGTGGACCTTGCTTCCTGTCTTCCCCTGTGCTGCATATAAGCTTTGTATATGCTATTGGGAACACTGCAAACAGCTAATTATAAAAGAATTCCTATTCCACCGTCTCATAAAATACCAGGGCAGCATACAACGATAAAACATGAAAAGTAAACCATTAAAAATAGAACAAAATAACCATCAAAATGACTGGCTACTCATGAAGATTTTAAACAGTGACATAGACCTGTGGGCATAAAAATGTCATCAAGAAATGCCTGAAAGTGATTGAGGCTTTTAATACTGGGGACAACTGTCTGCACTGCTCCGGACAATATCAGTGATCAGGCTTGGATAAAAAGGCTGGCTTGCTTGGGCAAGGCCAGATTAAGTCTTGTGGTATCTTAAAGACTAAACAATAATAATGGTATAATTTTTGCAGACTACAAGGAATACTATGGGCCTCTGGTGTTTCAGAGATTCCAGCAAAACACAAGTGGTTTACAAAGATCAGTAACCAATAATAAAACCTCAGAGTTTTAAAATCACCCATCTATTTTCCTCATCCATGTCACCATCGTCGCTTTGCACAGAAGTCCAGCACAAACCTTAACGTGCAACGCCTGTTCACATTATACTTCATCAAAGACTCTACTTCATTCACACAGAAAACTACAAATCACTTCCTGCTCCCAAACCTCCAAACTCTCTCCCCATGTATTAATTACTTTGTTTGTGGGGCGGGGTAGCAGGTGGAGAGAGATACCTCAGATAAACAAGGCTATACTATATTAATTACAAATGAACATCGTTTCCTCTGACCTGACTGACCACTGTCACTGGGCCTGGGCAAACTGCAGAGATTCCATGGACCGGGAAATAAGAAATTATACTAAAGGGAAGGGAGAAAAGAGCAGCTCTTTAGGACAAAGGGATTCCTATCTCCATGTGCCAAAACAATTCACTCTTCAAGCATAGCTCTGACTTCGTTAACCAGAAGGTTGGTGGTTCGAGTATGTTTCTGAGCACAATTCAAAGTGTTGGTGCTGAACTTTAAAGCCCTAAACGGCCTTGGTCCAGTATATCTGAAGGAGCATCTCCACCCCCATCGTTCTACCCAGACACTGAGGTCCAGCACCGAGGGCCATCTGGCAGTTCCCTCACTGTGAGAAGCCAAGTTACAGGGAACCAGGCAGAGGGCCTTCTCGGTAGTGGCGCCTGCCCTGTGGAATGCCCTCCTACCAGATGTCAAAGAGAACAACAACTACCAGACTTTTAGAAGACATCTGAAGGCAGCCCTGTTTAGGGAAGCTTTTAATGTTTGATGCATTACAGTGGTACCTCGGGATGCGAACGGGATCCGTTCTGGAGCCCCGTTCGCATCCTGAATGGAACATAAGACGCGATGGCGTGTCTGTGCATGCGCGGGTTGCATTTTGCTGCTTCTGTGCATGTGCATGACTTCATTTTGAGAGTCTGCGCATGTGGGAACAGCGAAATCCGGAAGTAAGGCGCTCCGTTACTTCTGGGTTGCAGCGGAGCGCAACCCGAAAGCGCTCAACCTGAAGCACATTCAACCCGAGGTATGACTGTACTGTATTTTAATATTTTGTTGGAAGCCGCCCAGAGTGGCTGGGGAAGCCCAGCCAGATGGGCAGGGTATAAATAATAAATTATTATTATTAAATTATTATTCGAGCCCACCCAGGGACAGTTGTGGGCAGGATTCCTGCATTGTGGGGGGTTGGATTACATGACCCTCAGGGACCCTTCCAACTCTACAATTCTATGATAGTAAACGTAAAGGGACCCCTGACCATTAGGTCCAGTCGTGACCAACTCTGGGGTTGTGGCGCTCATCTCACTTTATTGGCCGAGGGAGCCGGCGTACAGCCTCCGGGTCATGTGGCTAGCATGACTAAGCCGCTTCTGGCGAACCAGAGCAGCGCACGGAAACGCCGTTTACCTTCCCGCCGGAGCGGTACTTATTTATCTACTTGCACTTTGACGTGCTTTCGAACTGCTAGGTTGGCAGGAGCAGGGACCGAGCAACGGGAGCTCACCCCGTCGTGGGGATTTGAACCGCCGACCTTCTGATCGGCAAGTCCTAGGCTCTGTGATTTAACCCACAGCGCCACCCGCGTCACTGAAAGGGGAAGAAACCAGGCTAGCTCATCTATCTGCACATTTTGCTTCCTAACTTTCTTAATAGGAGGCTCCTTAACTTACGGCTGCTTTTTAAAAAGGAAAGCTCAGAGTCTTCCCCCCTTTGGAGACAGGGCCCTGGTGTACCTGCTCCAGGTGCACCATTGATAATCTGGACTTGGCTCAGGTTCTCCTTAAGATATCCCGATCCCAAGCTGTTTCAGCAGAGATCAGTTCCTGATCAAATGGAGAAAGTAGACGCGCACACGGTTTATATAAACAGCAGATTTAGGATCAATGCTTGGAGGCTGGCACAATTGCCTCCCGCCCATGTCAATTCTATGTACAACTGATGTTTAAAACCATCTAATATGACATGGGAACACAAAGGAGGTGCAAGAAGAGCAGCACAGACCCAAATCCCCTAATGAGAGCACACTCTTATGCGTTTTGGTTCGCCGATCAGCTCGCTGTGGATGCTGTGATCTTGGAGAACTCGTAAATGGGAAAGCACAATCTCTCGGCAGCATATATTGATTACAAGACAGCCTTTGATTCTCTGCAGCCTTCTTGGCTGCTTCAAATACTTAGAGGGTACAAAGTGAATCCTGCTAGTGCAATAGTCCTGCTACTGATGAAACGGAACGTAAATATTGCCACAGGATTGCTACCAGATTATTGGGGGTGAAACTGTTGCCGCTGCAGTTTCAAGGTAATACGTGACCAGAGTTGGGGGCTTGACAAAGGAATCTTCACGGTGCCCAGAATTTTTGGAAGGAAGGAATGTGCTTTGAATATGCTGTACAGTGGTACCTCAGGTTACATACGCTTCAGGTTACACACTCCGCTAACCCAGAAATAGTGCTTCAGGTTAAGAACTTTGCTTCAGGATGAGAACATAAATCGTGTTTTGGCGGCGCGGCAGCAGCAGGAGGCCTCACTAGCTAAAGTGGTGCTTCAGGTTAAGAACAGTTTCAGGTTAAGAACAGATCTCCGGAACGAATTAAGTACTTAACCCGAGGTACCACTGTAAATGTGTTTGCAGCCCAGCAGTAGGCAGAGCCAGCTAATTCTGGTTTTGTCCCCATATCACCGTATTTTTCGCTCTATAAGATGCACCAGACCACAAGATGCACTTAGTTTTCGGAGGAAAAAAAAATTCTGAATCTCAGAATCCAGAACAGCAAGAGGGATCGCTGCGCAGTGAAAGCAGCAATCCCTCTTCCTGTTCTGGCTTCTGGGATACCTGCGCAGCCTGCATTTGCTCCATAAGACGCACACAAATTTCCCCTTACTTTTTAGGAGGGAAAAAGTGAGTCTTATAGAGCAAAAAATATGGTAATTTTGGTTGAGTTCTACAAAGGCAACACAGACACTAAGGACGAGGGAGCTGACAGCCAGGGCCATATCTCTAGACCGGATGTAAATAAAAAGAGAGGCAGGTGGTGCTGGCTGAGTTGAGACTGAAGTTAGCAGGATACTGCCCCATCTGCCAAAACGGATCACCTTCCTTTTTATGTGTGCATGCATGCATGTGGATATATGTGCATTAAAAAGTTATTTTGTATCATTATTCCACAATTGCTCCTATGCACCTATCTCAATATTATTACTAATACCAGTTGCCCAATGTATGATTGAAGATTTCACTTGTTCATTTTTTGTTTCCCATTCTACTAGCATCTTATATATTTTTGACAACACATTAACATTGCCTTCTAGCAGGTTTATCTCTAATTGGGAGGTTTGACTTCCAAAGCCCAATTTTTAATCTCTTTTAAAGACTTCATCCTCTTAGCCAGGGGTCAGCAAACTTTTTCAGCAGGGGGCCGGTCCACTGTCCCTCAGACCTTGTAGAGGGCCAGACTATATTTTGAAAAAATAATAATAATGAACGAATTCCTATACCCCACAAATAACCAGAGATGCATTTTAAATAAAAGGACACATTCTACTCATGTAAAAACACACTGATTCCTGGACTGTCCGGATCCGGCCCCCGGGCCTTAGTTTGCCTACCCATGCTCTTAGCCATCTAATGATGGAAATATGCATACACTTTAACATTTAGCCGATGAAAATGGTGACTTCCTATTCTATTTAATAAATTATTATTACTATACTATACTATACTATACTATACTATACTATACTATACTATTATGATACTATTTATACCCCGCCCATCTGATTGGGTTGCCCCAGCCACTCTGGGCAGCTTCCAAAATAAAAATAATCATCAAACATTAAACATTATAAAACTTCCCTATACAGGGTTGCCTTCAGATGTCTGCTAAAGGTTGTATAGTTAGTTACTTACCTCCTTGGCTCAGGAGACACATATCTCCATACCCTCCAACATTACTCCAATGAAAACAGGGACATCCTAAGGAAAAGTGGGACATTCCGGGATCAAACCAAAAACCGAGATGGCTTCTGTAAATCTGGGACTGTCCCTGGAAAACAGGGAGACTTGGAGGGTCTGAAATATGTTAGAGCTGGAGTACAGCTTCTCCTCCTTCCAGCCGCACTCAATCATCCTGCCTCTGATATTGGAATTCTCCCCTGTATCCAGAGGAAAGCAATCCTGTTAACCGAGCCCAGCTCACTGAAATCACCTCACACACAATGCTGTTTCTTGTCTACAGGCATCTTATGAGAAATGGCGGGCTTTCATTTCTGTATCTGTTCCACTGGTGTAACTCTGGGGGTTTCTGGGCGAATATCAGGAGGGTGGAAGCACTGTAAGAAGGATCAGACTCAGACCCTAACAAAGCCACATTTGATGAATGCTTAGCTTTTAGACTTGAGGCGATTGCTCACCCCCACCCTGTTTCTCTCTGGCTTGCCACGCCACGTTGGATTGCATGAGGTTGCAGCGCACATGTGAAGCTGTATCGGAAGTGACACGTAGCAATGTAACTCCTCTGGGCACAGCAATGAGGATGACGCTTGGAAAAACTAGTCTTGTCCGTGGTTCTGTGACTTGAGACGACTCTGGATGGAACTGACTGATCCAGCGGTAAATTATCCGCTCGGTGGGCAGCGCAGTCCCATGTCAGTACCTGTCTCTCCGTGAGTAGATTTAAGCAGCGGGGAACACCAAACGAAAGGAAAACCTTTTGAGGCCTTGAGTCGATTTACGGGCATTTGTCTTGCTGACTCCGCTTATTGCAGGATTCAAAGAGAGATCAAGTGTGATTATACAAAGCCTCGCCAGTGCAGAAACAATCTGGCGAGGAACCACATGGATTTATTGAATATCGTTTCAACTTCTGGGATGCTCATTCTTCTGCCTACCCCATGTTATTTAATTGCAGTTGCCAGACTCTATATGTTAGGGTGATCTCTCGGATTATGTACAGATGGGCACAAACTATTTTAAAGAGTTATTCCGCCCTCCCCCCTTCTGCAAAGAGCCTGAAGTGCATGTTTTCCCAGGGTTAACATTCATTGAATATGACTGAGCTTCTATGTGCTCAGCAACTGTGCCGAAGCCTCCAGCAGCCGCTGGCCTGGAAGTTGGGCTGACTCACTGCAAATGTTTCATGATGCCTGAAATCAAATATTTTGATTCAGGCTCATGCTATCTATCAAACCTCAATATGAGGACAGTGTGTTCCTATTGGACATAGACGTTTTGCTACGTGGTAATGTGGCATAACACAAACTGGCTGCTGTGGGGCCATGGCAAGCTGTAGAATCGGAGAGAATATGCTATCCTTTCCCTTGAGATTTAAAAGCTTATGGTTTCAGAGAAGGAAGTAAGATAACCAGAGTCACACCAAGGAATGGGAACAGAAGGTGGTGGATGTGAACATTAGCACGACATAAAGCTATTCATCACTCATACAATCAGTGGAAACACTCCTCAGACTTGATATAGGAGACAAATTTTCAGAGTGCATTTCAACAGAAGAGGCACTATTATGGGCAGTGGCATAGCATTCATTGGCAGCACCCAGGGCAAGGCAAGGATTGCATCCCCTAACCTCCTTGGGGGCATTCGCTGTGCCCCTGTGGTGGTTGCTCCTCACGGAGGTCACATTTGCCCACTCAGCTCCCAGTGAGAGCAGCAGCTGGCACTCCTTAGCTGGTCTAGTGGCATCCCAGCAGTGCCAGAGCCACAGCAGGCCTAGGATGAGTCCTGGCTCTGTTTGGTGGGCATCCTTTCTCTGTGAGGAGAAGGCGCGGCCACAGCCCCCAAAGGCCTGGCCCAGGAGCAACTCACATCTTTGGAAGGTGGCCGTCACATGGCCTCAGCGAGGGAATCCATCATGGGGGCACTGGGTTGCACCCCCTCAGCTTTCTGCCCCGGGGCCACGGCACCCCTTCCCCCACGCTACACCACTGATTATGGGAAATGCCTTTTGCACACGATGCAAAGATTCATGGTTTGCCGAAAGAGACAAGTGCTTTAACATCACATCTAATCTAGGCCTTAAGTCTTTGACCATTTTGATGGGGCCTCAATATGTGACCTCTTGAAACACCTCAAAAATATTAAGAGAAATAAATCATTTCGACATTGTCTAATAAACTACTGAAGCAGCGCTGGGCACTCTCAGCTGTAGTCTCATGACATTGCTTCCGTTTTTAACCCTGCAAAATCAAAAAAGGTGTGCTTGACGCACGGTGTGTATATTATGAAGTTCTGGATGTCATGCTAGCACGGCAGCCTCTAAGGTTTCCCACACAGCCATTGGTCCAGTCACACCAGCGACCTGCTGTTTCTTATTTCACTGAATTTGGACACTGTGAGTAAATTGGCAGCGGCACTGCAGCGCTGTGGATGGATTCAACCACTGTCTCTCTCTGGCTTGGGCTGTGTTACACCTGATTGCGTCTCATGACAGGACCTAGATCTAAACCTGCTGTTTTACACAAGGAAAAGCGAAAATTAATGAAAGGTTTGGATCGCATTAACCTTTTCTTTTACGCACTAAGCGGCACAAACAAGGGCCTGTTGTTTGGTCACTCAAGGACACAGCTGACATCAAGGGTCGGGATATAGCAGACGTTTGATTCATACCAGATGTGTACATCTCATCACGCAAGAGGTGGTGGCAGAGATATGAATTTAGGTTCAGTGCCTTCTGAGCTTTAATATGGCAATAGGTGAAAGTGAGTAGGCTGAATGCCGGATGATGATTGCTCTATATATTACAACCATGCAAAAAATAATAATCATGTAATCAATACATTTCTCACAACAGAATAGTTTTCTTCCAGGGTTCCTCCCCCCTTTTCCTTATCTAGGTGCACACAGAGGGTAGAATATTTTGCCCCACAGGAATAAGTTCACACACGTACTTCCATCACTAGTGTCAGGGTAAAAGGTAAAGGTAAAGGGACCCCTGACTGTTAGGTCCAGTCGCGGACAACTCTGGGGTTGTGGTGCTCATCTCGCTTTACTGGCTGAGGGAGCCAGCATACAGCTTCCGGGTCATGTGGCCAGCATGACTAAGCCGCTTCTGGCAAACCAGAGCAGCGCACAGAAACGCCATTTACCTTCCCGCTGGAGCAGTACCTATTTATCTACTTGCACTTCATGCTTTCGAACTGCTAGGTTGGCAGGAGCAGGGACCGAGCAATGGGACCTCACCCCGTCGTGGGGATTCGAACCGCCGACCTTCTGATCAGCAAGGCCTAGGCTCTGTGGTTTAACCCACAGCTCCACCCGCATCCCCTAGTGTCAGGGTAGAAACCCAGTAATGAGGTATAGCAGTCCCCCATCACATAAACCCACATTGTGGGAAGGGACTGCTACCCCATTAGTTGGGAGCGTGTGTGTCAATTAAGCACCCGTGTATGTGGGACAATTCAAGCTTGCCTTTCCCACCCAATCATAGTTTATGCCAACGTGTTGAATGGGTGAGAAAAATCCCTTAGCAACGTTGCACAGGAGTTGCCTCACTTAATCCTACGCTGCTGGCAATAGGGTGGCTTCCTTTGGGCTAATCGTTGTACTCTCTTCCTGCTAAGCATTGATTGGCTGGGAAGGGCCTATATGACCAGTCCTGTCGCTATGGTGGAGGTTTTTGAATATTACTGCAAAAGTGTGGGACAAAGCTATGCGGAAGCATGGAAGCTTCATGTGTACATTGCATTTGCACACATTCTCTGGGAGCGCAGATCACACTGTATTGCTTTACCGCATTACTAGGAGAAAGCTCTGGGAAAGATGGAGAAGAAATGTAACAGCAGGATCTCAATCTAGCAAGGAGGAAGAAGAGTTTGGAGCTTTATCACTACCCGAAGGAGTCTCAAAGCAGCTAACATTCTCCTTTCCCTTCCTCCCCAACAAACACTCTGTGAGGTGAGTGGGGCTGAGAGACTTCAGAGAAGTGTGACTAGCCCAAGGTCACCCAGCAGCTGCATGTGGAGGAGCGGGGATGCGAACCCGGTTCACCAGATTACGAGTTTATCGCTCTTAACCACTACACCACACTGGCTCTCGACCCACAAGCATAAGAGGGTTTCTTTACATATATCTAATGTGGATGCAATCTGGGGCCTGCAGTGTTGTCAGTTTGGGCATAAAATTTGAGGGAAAAGCTGCATTTGGCTCAACAAATCCCCTCTTCGGGTCTATGGACATAAAATAATAATAATAATTATTATTATTATTATTATTATTATTTTTATTTATACCCCACCCTCCCCAGCCAAGGCCGGGCTCAGAGCAGCTTACAAGCAATAATAAAAACAAGTTGAATCAAAATATATCTCCGGGTCTGTTCTCCAGATGTGATCTAAACTGACCTTCAAGCTTGCATTGATAGCTATGCCAGCAACATCTATGCTGGCTGAAGCCTCTAAGCCTTTCTCCTTCCTGCTGGCCCCAATGATCACCAAGTACCTCTGCTTCCACACGTTGATCACTATTGCCTTCTCCTTTTCATCCTCCATGTGGCAGAAGCACACACCACTAGGTGCCTGAGGACTGACCCAGTTAGAGAAGATAACAGCAGTAGTGGGCAGGGAGGAGGCAGTGCTAGTGAACAACAGAACCAGCGGGGAAAGGTTAGGCCTGTTCAGTTCACTGGAATATCCTAGTGCTTTGGTTTGATGGAAGGTATGAGCCATCTGGTAGTTGACTACACAATGACAGGCCAGCAGGGATGTCCCACTGGCCTGTGCACAAGGTCTCATGGCTTACTCACAGTGCAACCCAAATTAGATAAGGGAGGGATGTCAAGGAGATGAGTAACTACATAACCTTGAGAGGGCATCTGACGGCAGCCCTGTATGGGGGAGCTTCTTAAGGTTTAATGCTTTATTATGTTTTTATATATCTTGGAAGCTGCACAGAGTGTCTGGGGCAACCCAATCAGTTGGGCAGGGTACAAATAATAAGTTGTTGTTATTACTATGACTTGGCCTCCCTGGCCTGTTAGTATTACATGCTTAGCATGGTGTTCATATCCCAACTTTCCTCCAATCTACTAGCTCTTAGCTGAACAGCAAGATCATAAGCCTTTAAAAGAGGCTTCAGAAATACCTTTTCTTGCCTCCTTCCCCAGAACAGAAAAGCAGCAATCGGTGAAGCTTGTAAAAACTCAACACACAACAATCTCTTTGCAAGAAAACGAAGGTCATGTTTTCCAGTTTAACATGTCAGGCCCTTCTCTGCTGAGAAAGGGCAAGCTCAATGTTTTGCTTGACAACTGAATCCAGCACCAACAAGGGCGGACTGCAACTGGCTGGAACAGATTGCCTCGGAACTGGTGCTTTCTGAAGGAAGGGCTTATGGAGGTGGATGCCACCGGTCTGCAGGTTACTAATTAAAAGCCCAGCACTCAGAGAGGAAGCAATTCTGGATTGTACACACTCTGCAGGCCACGATGCAACATAAAAACCTCTGGGGCTGTATAAGCAGTTCGCAAACCATCTCGCCCGTTCGGGTGAGTGGTCTGCAGCTAATCTGGTTAATCCAACTGAATCAACCGTACCAACTGCAGTGGAGATGGCCAACCCGTGCGACGCTGTTCTGAACTGCTGGTCCAAAGGAGGGCTTGTGGGAGTGGTTGGATGCAGGGATACCAAAGAAGGAGGTCCAAAACACCAGAGTGATCAGTTCTAGTGCCTTATGAAGGAAAGGTGTAGACTTACAGCAAATCAGCCTGCCAGGTCTCCCAGGGTTTACTGACGTAGGATGGATGCAGCAGCAAGAAGATGGCTTATCTGCACCCAAGCAAACATTCATGCATTCTTTATACACAAAGCAGCATACGCCACTTGGGCCTGGATTTCCCATCTCTCCGCCTGACCAGGTGAGGGCACAGGTGGCAAATACCCAGATCTTACAGATAGTTCCCCTTTCTGGACTCAGAGCTCAGCACCCCAAGCCCCCATATAAGGATAGTATCAAAGCAAGCCAATTATCAAAGCAAATGAATATAAATATACATGAGCTCGTTGCTATAACAGCTACCAATTAATTGTGGAGGGGTTTTGACTACCAAGATGGCGTCCGCAGTGCTTCCAGAAGAGTTTGCCTTTGGATCAATGCAGACACCCAGCCCTGTGTTGTTGGACTACAGCTCCCATCATCGCTGACCATGCTGGTTGAGGAAGATGGGACTTGAGAGTCCAACCACCTCTCGAAGGCCACAAGTGGGTTACAGTCAACTACAGTAGTACTTAATGGAAGTGAATGAAGGGAGAAGGAGCATAGCTCTGAATGGGTTAAAAAAGCCACACCACACACAAAAAACACTGCAAGCAAAACTCTCATTTCATGGACTTGAAGCCAGTTTCATTGCTTGAAAGCCCAGCTTCAGATACATCCCAAGATAGTAAGGAGAAAGAGTTTAAGAGAGAAATGGAAGCAGAAGTTAAAATGTTGAGTAAAGATGAACTAGCGCCAGAATTCCTATGCTTATTCTACAGATGTTGCTGCAAAACAAAAAGGCATATGATTTTATATTTATGACTTCATACTCCTCATAAGTGAAGGAAAATGTACTAGCTACTGTAATAGCTAGTCTGGAGAAAGAAGCAAGATGTCAAGATTTTAACCACATTTGGGTGGGAATGTAAAGTAGCAAAGCAACTCTGTATTAATGTGATCAATGCAACTGAGGGCAATTGGAAAAGCCCACAGTTTTGTTCTTGGGTGGATTGGAATAACAACAACAACAACAACATTTATATGCCACCCATGTGACTGGGTTACCCCAGTCATTCTGGGCGGCTTCCAACAAATTAAAACACAATATGGGTTAATTTTCGGTTAATATTGATCCAATATAAAAATAAACATGGGAAATATGTTAGTTACGGTGGAAATATTAGTGGCCATTAGTTGGAACAAAAATAACTCATCATTTGAGGCCTAGAATATATTCTTATGTGTGTGTGTGCGCGTGCGTGCGTGCGCATATATATATATATATATATATATATATATATATATAATGGACTAATATACATACGACAAACTATTATAAGAAATGACAGGAAGAATAAGTGGGCAAAAATAAAAATCTGTGGATTGTTGGTATAAGTTTATTTGCTACTGGAATGAGAAAACAAATGATCAGAATGATATAAAATATGTGTTGGAAGTAATCTGCAGGAATAATATGACGAGGAAATAACTTTACTTATAACAATACTACAAATTTAGTTACTCACTCGGTATAATTTATGTTAAAAAGATAGATTTGTTATGCCTTTCTGTCTATGCCTCTTTATGTGTAAATGACTTATTTAAAGCTAAAAAAATACATTAAATAAAAATTCCTGTCCTTTTTCCATTGACATTCATCAAAGAAATGCAGTCAGCCCAGGGGCTGCACAACTTACTTTTTTTGGCTTCCTCAAGCTTGTCCTTGGCACGCTTTTCAGCCTGCAAAAGCTGTTGTATTCCCTGAGACTGGCTCGTCATTCTGGCTCCTTGATTTCAGAGATGCTGTGCGGTGACTGGGAAAGAGGAAGGGGCCTTTATGCTGTGTCTTGTTGTGTCAACATTAGGAGGATTCACTTTGCCCTGCCCAAGCCTGCTGAAGCGAGATTCATGCTCTGGGAGGTGGCTGTAAGGGAGGCGCGCAGACCAGTTCTCTTTTCCTCTGGTTTATACAGGATCACGGAAATGCTTTGAAAATCTGGTGCCTGTGTTTGTCCATAATATTTGTGGACCTTTTTTTTTTTAAGAGCAAAAGTAATTAGAGTACCAGCAGATCCCAGGACACTTTCAGACCATTGCTATTTTCGAGTGGGAAATTAACACACCAGCAAATTCTGGTAATACAAGTACAGCCAGTTCCTTGATTGTGCAATGAACCCGCTTCCCCAAGAGATCAGACTTTTTTTTTTTGCAATAAGGTGAAACCACTGGAAAGCACAGGATGACATTAACATGACACAATATCACATAAGCTCTGCACAAGCGTATCAGGATGAATGCTCAGGAAACACTGATTGTCTAGAAGTACCTTAGATTTTAAACAAATTCAACCCCCATCAGCGTTATCCTATGTTTGCTGCATGTGTTGAATCTACCTTTCTGTGCCAGAACTAGTGGCAACATGCCAAGCACTGCTACTATCTAGACTTCGTGCCATCCAGATGTTGTGCTGGCAGGGGCAGATGATGGGACTTGTAGCGCAAAACATCTGAAGAGCACCACACTGAGGAAGGCTGACCGAAACCCTGCCTAAAGTAGAATTTATGTGAAGGATGTGAAATGCCAACACCTACAAAGTGATTCCTGGGATGTGGGGGTTACAAAATGTGCCCTGTGGTGGCATAATTGCCTGTCACATATTTCAGGCTATCCCCACAGTCACATTTTTCCCCCTGAGGTTCAGAGACAATAAATAAATAAAAATATATCGGGGGGCCACTAGGGGTGCATTGGAAGATGGCCGACAATACCATCTCTCTGGACCACACGGGGAAATTAAGAGGCTGTTATGGGAGTAGGCAGCCTCCCTTGTTGCCCCAAGGGAATGGGGAACACTGCCCTTGCCTGCTGTGCCCATAAATCACCCCCAAATTCGAAAGAAGGGGGTGAGGGCACTAGGCAGAATGCCCCCGTGTGGACTTCAGCTCTCCTGGATGCTGTCTCTGATAGCGCACTAGCTGCAGCAATTTGGAATAATTAATTACAAAAGAAGCAAATGCACATATTTCAAGTGAAGAAGGGGAGTTAAGACTGCTAATTGAAGGGACCTCTGCGAAAGAATACGACGGGTTGGAGCAACAGGAATATTTTACGATGAAGATACTTCAAAGGCTGGGTATGTCGGCAACGGGACTGAATGGGGGGGGGGGACCTTTTTTACTTTTCTTCTATGTGATTAACCAAGAACCCCTCCTCATTAGAACAGTCGGTTTAACTGACCCAAGCAGGATGGTTAAGGTCTGTGTGGAAATAAACCTTAACCAAAAGTATGCTTTATGGAGATCGAGATGGAATAAGAGCTTTTGGAATGGCGCAGCAATTAATTCAGAGTCGCCATCTTGCCAAAGGATTTATAGCCGGGAGGAGGAACGGAGGTGTGAATTGACCCTCTCCTGCCAGGCCAAACCACAGAAAAAGGGTGTGAAACATGGTCTGTGAAAGAGCATTGTGGCTGAGGCGGGAGCATGGCTTGGGGAGCTGGGGGGGCAAAGAGCAAGGCCTGGACTCAATACCTGAGGTTCTTCACCTGTGAATTAGGTAAAGGTAAAGGGACCCCTGACCATTAGGTCCATTCGTGGCTGACTCTGGGGTTGCGGTGCTCATCTCGCTTTATTGGCCGAGGGAGCCAGCGTATAGCTTCCGGGTCATGTGGCCAGCATGACTAAGCCACTTCTGGCGAATCAGAGCAGAGCACGGAAACGCCGTTTACCTTCCTGCCAGAGCGGTACCTATTTATCTACTTGCACTTTGAGGTGCTTTCGAACTGCTAGGTTGGCAGAAGCTGGGACCGAGCAATGGGACCTCATCCCATCACGGGGATTTGAACCGCCGACCTTCTGATTGGCAAGTCCTAGGCTCTGTGGTTTAACCCACAGCGCCACCCGCATCCCTTACCCATGAATTACATCATTATAAAACACTGTAAGAGAAGAAGGACAAGTCGGACTCTTAACATCACCTCATGGGTGAGCCACGCATGTGGTGCCTCTAGGTGAGAACACATGCACCTCAGCAGCAAGACCTTTTGCCAAGAGACCAAGAACACCACTGCAAAGCTGTCAAGCAAGGCCGGAGCCTCCCTCAGTGGTTTGGATTCTGTGACTCTCACAGACGTGAGAGAGCACCCAGCAGCCTCTATTTTTGGAGGAGTTACTGTCACATTTCTTTTTTAAGAAATAAAAAAATGACTGCATTTTATGATACAAAAAGGGGAAGTGCAGGCCAGCTGGAGAAAATGGTTTCTACAGCAGAATGCACCCCTCCCAGTTACCTCCCTTGGGGATAAAAATGTAAAAGAGAAAATGAAAGCCTAAAACGGGAGAACAACCACTTTGCATATTTCCCCAGTCAATTGCTGACCAGTACCGCCCAGGGGTTCAGCCTGACCCCCTCAAGGAATTCCCATGTAACCAGAACTCCAGATCACAAGGGCAGGTTGCTCTTATTATGCACCACAGCCATTTCCTGACCACACACAAGTGAAGCACCAAGAGCTCTTTAACTAATTCCCATCCGGCATGTCTGAAAAGCGGCAGATACTTTACCAGGGCTTATGCACCTCAGATGTCAAGTCCAGGGACAGGCAGGCTAAATGGAAGTGAGCCTTCCACTCTGAAACCACCACAGCCTTATTGGGTCTTAAGTAATTTGCAGGTGTGCTGCATTAGCAAATTCATAAATTGGCAGTCGTTAGTGGAGGCAGCCTTTGTTCCAAATACAGATGCAATGCTTCAGACTTCATACAACGATGAAAGGGTCAAAACAGCAGGATGCCAAAGAGCCTAGCTGGGGGGAGGGCATTTGTATGTGCTTTCTTTTTGTTTTGAGTGCAAGTTATCAAAGCCAAAGGAAAAAGGTTGTGCAAACACCTGCATGTGTGTGTCTGTGTGTGTTTAATGCTATCAAAACGAGGCCAACCATCGCTATTGTTTTCACCAAGAGAACTTCTTCAAACAGATAAAGGTATGAACCTCAGAAATGCAAAAGTCTCAAAGTTTCACATCGACTAAGGCTGCTTTTCTGCAACACCGGACTCCTACTGCGTCCTGTTTCTCCTCCTATTCGCAGAGGCTTTTTCTCACTTTAACTTCTAACCACATCCTGTTTGATTCTTGGAACAAAAATTCTTTTGTGTTTCTTAGCATGGGGCCGAGCACCACTGAGGCCTTTATAGTCTGTTCTCTCACAGCATCTGGGTGGTGGAAGGGAAACATAGAGACCGTAGATTGCGGCGACCACAAGGGAGCAACACGCTACTCCACCCTCTCCCCTTCAGGTCAGTCCTAAGGAAGCCTGGCAGTACAACAGTGTCCTACAATGCCGCCACGGTCGCAGGAAGGTTGCAGAGGGGAGGCCTGCATTCCTTGCCAATCCCACAACAGTGGGAACATCACTGTTGATAGGAACTTGACTTTGGAGTCCCTTTGAGCTGTGAATGCCACCACCATGGCAAGAGGCCTGGAAGACTTAGGGCAATGAATTGAAGAGCAGGATAGGCTATCATAAGGACATTGCCAGGAGGTGCAAGGCTTGGGATTTGATAGCATGCCTTGAAAAATGCCCCAGTCCCTGTGTGTTTCAAATATGAATGCATTTGCAGATCTGAACAGAGTTGCACTGGTTTGTTGTTGCAAAACAGGGTTTCAGGTTTCCAGACTTCCTCCTCTGGAATGTGCAAGACATTTCCTTATCATCCTTACCCTTACAGTGGTGCAACGAAATCATTTTCTTGGATGCTTGGCAAAGAACATCGGTGGATGAAAGCCCACCTCCTAGGAAACGGGACCTTTAGAACGCCTTGCATTTGCCTCTAGCTCAGGATTCGATCAGAGCTGGAGATGAAGTGTTAGCTTTGTCACTGTAGGAATCTCCCTACTTCCCTCTTTTACATGAGCTACACGGGGTTGTTGTGACTCTACGCCACCCTGAGCTCCATGGAATTATAAACCAAGCTTTAATTGGTTCAAAATATAGCAACAAGGATGCTAATGGGCATGGATTATACTGTATGCTTAGCAGGTCCAGCATCAGTACCCATAATAGTAGTACAGTGGTACCTCAGGTTACATACGCTTCAGGTTACAGACTCCGTTAACCCAGAAATAGTACCTTGGGTTAAGAACGTTGCTTCAGGATGAGAACATAAATTGTGCTTCGGCGCGGCAGCAGCAGGAGGCCCCATTAGCTAAAGTGGTGCTTCAGGTTAAGAACAGTTTCAGGTTAAGAACAGACCTCCGGAACGAATTAAGTACTTAACCCGAGGTACCACTGTAGTAGTAGTAGTAATAATAATAATAATAATAGTAATGATAATATAATATTTATACCTGCCCATTTGGCTGGGTTTCCCCAACCACTCTGGGGCAGCTCCCAACAGAATATTAAAAACACGATAAAACATCAAACATTAAAAACTTCCCTAAACAGAGCTGCCTTCAGATGTCTTCTAGAAGTCAGATAGTTGTTTATTTCCTTGACATCTGATGGGAGGGCGTTCTACAGCGCGGGTGCCACTACCAAGAAGGCCCTCTGCCTGGTTCCCTGTAACCTCAGTTGTCGTAGTGAGGGAGTCACCAGAAGGCCCTCGGAACTGGACTTCAGTTTCTAGGCTGAGCAATGGGATGGAGACGCTCCGTCAGTTATATTGGGCTGAGGGCTTTAAAGGTCAGCACCAATATTGACCAGCACCATAAAAAGATATGGCATGGCTCTGAGGAGGGTGTTGCTGGTGAGACTGATACCAGGATTAACATATATCTGGTGCTGAAAGGAGGAGTGCAGACCCAGACAGCTTTAGAGAACAAAATCCACTGGGACACCCCCCCAAAAAAAAAATTACTAGGACCCTATACTGTTCATAACGTGGTTGGTATCTTTCAAGTTACAACAATCTCTTCCTCAGGTGTGTGAGCTGGGCGGGGAGGGGGGGCATTGAAAGGAGGGAATAGATGCTTCTACCTTACGAGGGACCTGTAAATTCCAATTATTGCCAGAAACAGACTTTGCTAATTGCTTTCATTTTGAATTTCCATTTGAGTATGATACCTTTGAGGATTTCTGGGGT